ACAAACAATATTTGGTCCGCAGCAGAACAGGCAGCATTCCTGCTCCGCCTGCTGAAGGAAGAAGCCTTGGACGAACACAGGGCCTGGGACGACCCGCCTTTCGTTAACAGCATCACTTGATGGAAGCAGGTTGCAGTCCATCAGTTTAAGACGTAATGGGAGAAAATTGTTTCCCCTGCTGTCACTCGAGTTTCAAGTATGGAGGCATATACAGGCAACACCGCATCAGCAAAGCCCTGATGGGGCCCGGGGACAAGAAGCACACTCACAGAATCCACACTGTCCGAACCCCCCTCGCCCTCCCCCTCCAGTAAGAAAACAGCCAGAGTGAGCAAAAAAACTATCCGAGGCCGATCTTGATATTCGATCCGTTAACGTCAATGGACCCGCACAACCCAACGAACAAAAGAAATTGGTCGTTTGGAACATGATGCTGCAAGATATGGGGGGGGAATGGCCTGACGCCATTGGAGTACAGGAGACTCAGCTCACCGATTCTCAAACCCACCTAGCCAGAGCCAGAAATGTTTTGCCTTACACAACATTTATGGCCCCCGCCCGCTCCTCAGCCTCTACTGCGGTGGCCATTTGGCTACCCCCCTCCTCAAGACTAGTCCCGACGCATGCAGACTGGCACAAAATAGCCTGAAAGCAGCAATGGTAACAGAGGTAGTATGCATATATGCTGTGAACGAACCAGTACAACGAGTTCAATTCTTTCTCGCCCTACAACAAATATTACCAATAGACGCCCCGATCATAATGTGTGGGGACTTCAACACCACCCTAGACCCTGAAGTGGATAGGAGATCATCATCATCATCATCATCACAGCAACCACCAGGAGTAGGGGTGCAAAGGGAAATATCATCGGACAGCACAGCGCTGGGCCGACTGATGTCGGATATGGACCTAATTGGTACCTACAGAGAAACATATCCTAACGAAAGAGCCTACACATGCGTCATGTCGCGAGGCTCGGCCGGACTTTCCATTTCAAGAATTGATTTATTCCTCCTCTCAAAGGACCTGGGTGGTCTGTTGACCACATCAACAATCCTCCCGTTTTCTCCCTGCAAATCATTTGACCACCGCTTCATAGCAATCGGCCCGGATACTTCAAATTCAACACATCCCTGCTAAAGCTTCAGGCTTTCCAGCAGTTGGTTAAAGACTTATGGGCTTACTGGACATCAAAGAAGCCCAAGGACGGATCGATAGTCCAATGGTTCAATGATGGCAAGAGAACGCAAAGCGGTGTTGGATAGCCTGCTGCACCAACTCAAGGAATGGCACACACATCTCGTTGAAAACCCTTTAAATATCGAAACTTTCAACGCCCTTCAACAAGCCAAAAGCCAGCTACAAGAGTGCCTGGACGCGCAAACACAAAAATGAAGAATACAAGCTAAAATTAGGAAGGACACCATGGACAGAACGATGTCCAAGACCTTCTTTAGTAAGGCTAGAACTAAAAGTAGACAGTCCATGGTACCCTCCCTTAAGCATCCGTTCGACAGCTCCCAAGCACCAGCAAGAAACGCTTACAAAATAGTGGAGTATGCATCTCTCTATTACACAACTTGTTCAGCCACAATCCCTTGCCCACGCAAGGGACACATTGTTGACTGCGCTCCCTTCCTTACTGACCGATGCGCAAAGAAACTCCCTCGATGAACCCATGACCAGCCAATAACTCCTTCAAGCACTGCAAGATATGGACAATGAGAAAACACCTGGTCTGGATGCCTTTCCAAAAGAGCTTTGGCTTCACTTATGGGAGGTATTCCAAAAGGACTTTATGATCTATATCAATGTTATGTTCCACGAGGAGACATTCGCAGGCATGATGGAACAAGGGGTGACAACGTTGTTGTACAAAAAAAGGGGACCAGGAGCCCTATTACCCTTTTGGTCATCCCCTACACGATTGTGGCCAAAGCATGGGCAAACACACTGTTACCCCTCCTCCCTCACCTCATCCACCCGAACCAATCAGACTTCATGCCATTCTGTAACATACAAGACAACATCTTGATGGTCAATGAAACTATCCGCTACGCAAGACAACGAAAAGTGGAAGCGGCTATATTGTTCATCAACTTTGAAAAGGCATATGATCACGTGGATTGGGACTTCCTCGACATGTGTTTAGTTAGAATGAACTTTGGCCCACTTTTTTGCAAGTGGGTCAACACCTTCCACATAAAAGCCACTACGAATACCACACTTAATGATCATCTTGCTCCCCCCTTTCGTCTTCCCGTCGCACAAATGCAATTTGTGCTGGTTATGGAAGCACTTGCAGCCATTATAAAAAACAACCCTGGCATCCATAAAATTTGAGTGTCGGAAATACCTGAACACCTGGTTCCTGTTACCTCAATATTTGTTGATCATCTCACAATCTTGCTCATAGCAGACCAAGAAAGCTTTCGTGCGGTGGCTCACACAGTCCATCTTTTTGAGATCGCAGTGGATATGAAAGTTAGCTGGGCTGGCCACCCTTAACCCCGATAAGTCACAGGTGATCTGGGATCTGCTTCGAGGGGTCGGGGGGCGCACCTGGCCGACCGTGATCTGCATCCAAGAAACCCACCTGATGGACATCCCCGAACCCCATAGAGCCCACAAAGTGGTTTGGCCCTTTGAAGCTTACCTCGCCCATGCGCCTGGGCCCGCAAGATTTGGGACAGCCATCTGGATCCCACCGGACTCCTAGCTGGAGGTGCTGCACTCGCAACAGGATACAGAAGAAGGGCGATGGGTTTCGATTTTGGGGGCGCTGGAATTAGAAGTAATCAGTATCTTTTGTATCTACGCCCCAAATACGGCTCCTGAGTTGGAGGAGCTTTTTGCAGGATCCAGGCAAAGATCACGCAAGGTATCCCGATGATCTTAACAGGCCGTGTTGCACACTCCGACCGTCGGCGACCCCTGACTGGTCAGCACCTACCGATCTGGGGTCGTCAGCACCCAAAAAAACTTTTTTTTTTTTTTTTCGGTCCAGAACCCTTAATAACCCCACAAACACCCCCATACCCCCCCCAAATCCCCCCATACCCCCCCAAACCCCCAAACCCGCCCCCCAACACCCTCATAACCCCCCCGAATACCCCCTATACGCCCCTATATCCGCCTATACACCCCACCCCCAACCACCCCTTCCCCAAAAGTTTCTCAGCGGATTTGGGTTGTACTCAGCAAGCGCAGTACAACTTCCAACTCAAATCTGAAAAAAAAATAGTGGATGGTTGTTTTCTAACTGGTCGGCAGACCGCCGACCGGTCGGCCCTACTGGTCGGCTGCAATACGATCGGCGGTCGGGGTCGGCGGTCGGCAGGGATGCAACCATGTTAACAGGGGATTTCAATGCGGCCCCTGATCGTTGGCTGGACCATTGGCAAGTCCCCCCCTCCATGGAAAGAAATGCAAAGGAGGATGAGGCCATGATCAACTACTTGTGCAATTCACTCTCACTATTTGACACATTCCACAGTACATTCCCCACCGAGCGCACCTTCACATGTATCTGTAACACCAATCCTGCCAGACTCTCAAAGTCTTGAATCGATTTGATTTTGGCATCGGAGGCAGTGGTTGGAAGCCTCTCTTTGGCCGCCATCCTCCACCGTAGCCCATACCCGGATTTGGATCACAAGATGTGCATGGTGGCGTTGACCTTCAAGAAAAGACCGCACCAAGGGCCTGGTTTCTATAAACTAAACACTTCATTACTTCGACTCACCGCATTCCAACAGTATTTGGACCAGGTATGGGCATACTGGAGGGAGCGCCCCCCGGCAATAGACTCTACTGTCACCTGGTTTAACAATGGACTCTTCTTTCTGGGCAAAAAATGTAACAAATTCTCTAAGCAATTCGCTAGACAGCATCACCAATATGAGATCAACCTAATGCGGCAGCTCCAAGAGCTGGAACAGCGTGAATTGAACCAGCAACACAAACCGCTTACGGTAGAGCAGCATATACAATCCATCAACAAGCTTAAAGCTAAACTTTTCCAACATGCTCAGTATAGGTGGCAAGGTGCGAGAATCCGAGGGAATCTATCCAAATCCTTTGGGCTTGCCCAAACCAGATCTAATCGCCCTGTAGTAGAAGCCTTGTACGACCTGGAGAGGACAAAGGAGAACCCCATCCTCACCATGGCTGGCTGCGTCAAAATAGCCCGTGATTTTTTCAAAGATCTGTTTGCCGCTGAGGAAGAAACCCGTCTGCGCCAGATTGAGGACTTCTTGCAACCTATGACCAAAACACTCGCCCTGGAGCAAAGGGATAGCTTGGAGGCACCCCTTTCAAAAGAAGAGAGATGAACGACTGTGCCACGCAAGAAAACTGCTGGACTAGATGACCTCCCAAAGGAATTTTGGGAAACAACATGGAACTAGTTGAGTTCGAACCTAATGGACTATTACGCAGAAGTACGGCGTTCAGGAGATATAGGGTACGACATTCAGGAGATATAGGGGAACTGATTGGCCAAGGGGTGTTGTCTCTCCTCTACAAAAAAAGACATAAGATGAACATTCGAGACTACCGCCCCATCACACTTTTGACTGTTACCTATAAGATGGTGGTAAAAGGATTGGCGAACCGAATGATCCCAATTCTAGAGGAGCTAATACACCCATCCCAGACGGGCTTCATGCAACACAAACACATTCACAAAAACATCCTTTTAATTCACGAAATGGTGCAGCTAACTCATCAATCAAAGACAAACGCGGCCTTTATCTTCATCGATTTTCAAAAAGCCTACGATTATGTCGATTGGCTTTTTTTGGACAAGTGCCTAAAAATTGGGCTTCGGACCGGTCTTTCGTCGTTGGACAAGGATACTACACCAGAATGCCACCACAAGGGTACAGATCAGTGGGTCCCTAACCCCGCCAATAAAATTGGAAAGGTCGGTGCAACAAGGAGATCCTATTGCACCCTTTCTTTTTCTTCTCGTTATCGAGGCTCTATTCGCCAACCTGCGGGCAAATAAGGATTTGTCCAGAATAAGCATATCTCGGATCCCGGAAGAAGCCATACCAATGTGCTCACTGTTCGCGGACGACCTAACCATCATGGTCGACGCCACGCAAGAAAATATGGAAGAGGTGAGACAATTGATGAAACGCTTTGCAAATGTCTCGGACATGGCCGTGAATTAGGAAAGTAAAACCCAAGGGTGGTAGATCCACCATCAAGGGGGGAGACCCCCTGTCGCCCCCCATGTCGAGGGGATGTCCATGTCGGCGTGCGACCGCGCACCGTCAAATAACGAATGGATCAGTGCACCAACCCTGGCCAAGATGTCCAAGTGGCGAAACAAACACACCTCGCTTTTGGGACGAGCACTAGCTATCAACAACGTAGTTTTTGCCACATTGTGGTACTATCGGTACTCTAACCACTATGCAAGGCTGCATATCAGACTCTTAGGGCCAGGGTGGCAGCTTTTTTGTGGCCTGGCGACGACAAGCGAGCAAATGTGCTCAACCTAGTGGCATGGGATTCGGTGACTCAACCAAAGAAGGGGGGAGGCTTGGGTATCATTGATCTCCAAACGCAAGAACGAGCCCTCCGCCTCCAATGGATCAAGAAACTGATTTTTTCCACCCGCTGCCCCTGGCGGGATCTGGCCCTGGAAAATATAGCCCGTTTGGCCCCACCGGCCCCAAGTGGAGTCCACCCGCTTACATGGCTAAAAGACAGGTACTAGTCAATCCCTCGAAAAATGGGGGGATCTGGCACTGGAACATATAGCCCTTTTGGCCTTGCCGGCCCCAAGTGGAGTCCACCCGCTTACATGGCTAGAAGACAGGTACTGGTCAATCCCTCCAAAAATTCAAGGCCACCAATGGAACATTTCTGGCCGTCCTTACTAAAATGCTGGCGTCAACTGCCCCTCCCTGAAAAGCAAGCACCCGAACGATGGGAGGAGGTGGCCCGACAACCACTTCTTGGAAACCGGTGGATTACACCCCACTCATGGCAAGTGCTTTGCAGTTCAGCATCACCGTGGAAGGGGTGGGTGCAGCATGGGATCATGCGGGTGGGACAACTATGGGATCTGGAAAGAAAAGACCGGAAGTCGACAGTGCAACTGCGGGACGATCTCAAGTACTGCCACCACATAGACAATCGCTTGGACATGATCACTGGCGCCATCCCACTTGCATGGTACAAAATACTGCGACAGGGTCCTACCCTCCAGAAGGGCGATTGGGTTGGCCTGCGAGGGGAGCTGCACAGGATTGGCAGAATCCACCAACTTCGACACACATACGTACTAGTGGAATACTATTCATTTAGGCCGACAAACCAGCTGAGGGGTTCTTGCAACCCTTTCGAATGGAGGGAGAGGGAGGAGGTCTTTCGTGTATGTGTGCTAGGAAATGACACTGACTTTTGTGTTTCAGCCTCAGTCCCCCGTTCAAGAGTTGGCTTTGGACCCCTCAGAATGGAAATGGCAGCCTGCCAGGATACCGAAGACTGGGCCTGCAGGCGGACCAAAGACTCGGACTGCAGGCGGACCAAAGACTGGGACTGCAGGCGGACCAACAACCAGGCCTGCAGGCGAACCTACAACTGGGCCAACCAAGAAGATCTACCTTCAAGATTTGTCAGTCAAAACCACATACAGGATGCTCCGCTTAAAGAGGCAACTGAGAGATCAGATAAACGACAGGTGGGCCAGATATCTTAACGTGGACCGGGCCCTCGTCACGCCCATCAAATGGTTCAGCGAAAACAAAGCCCGGTCGTCCAAAATTACTTCATTACAATGGCAGATCGCCCACCGCTGCCTCCCCACAAACGCTTGGTTAATTGACCACACTCATCTAAAGCAAAAAGGTGTTGCACTACCTTGGTGTCAACGGTGCCTCACGGTCTTCCCCTCACGAAAATGGAACGAGACCATCGAACACATCTTCATGCAGTGTCCAATGGTCGTACTGACGTGGCGCTGGTGGGACAGACTGTGGCGCAAGATGATGCCGAACACACCCTGGTCGTGGTCTTGGCGAGCAATCCTGACTGGACACTGCCCTGAAATGGCTACCGCACCCTCCTATACAGGAAACTGGTTCAGTCTTGGAAGAAAAACAGTCCTTTGGGCCCTGAGGTGGCAGCGTTGCCTTCTCAATATGGAAAAAGTTAGTGATGGAGGGGGAGTTCATAGAACAAATCAAGGAACAGATCCAACTAGAATTGCTACGTAGATGGTATGACTTGAGAAACCAGATGGATACCTTTCGAACGGACCGGGATATTAAGCGGGCCCTCATGGCCTTTTGCACAGACTGGCTTGGGGGGGACATAGAACAAATCAAGGAACAGATCCAACTGGAATTGCTACGTAGATGGTATGACTTGAAAAACCATATGGATACCTTTCAAACGGACCGGGATATTAAGCCGGCCCTCACGGCCTTTTGCACGGACTGGCTTGAGGGGGACAGGGGGGGATGGGTAGCTAGGGTACAGTGGGGAGGGGATCAACCAAGAGGACAGACCAAGGCGGAACAGGCCCACCCCAAGGATTAACGCCTGGTGTTTAATGATTGGACTAATTTTGAGCCCTCATTCCCTATGAGACACCCTTCTGATTTCCCGGACCCCTTCCCCCCACCTGCTTTCCTTAGTCGAGGCCCCTTTCTGAAAACCCCCCTGCCCATCGGTCAAGAATCACCCCCGGTGCCCCCCAAGGTAGCAAAAGGTTCTGCAACAGCTTCGACTGCAAGTTTGTGCAATGGGTGAAATCCTTCAGATTTAGAGTAGGCAATGCAGTCGCATCAAGGAGAGGTGCTCAATCTGGCGGCCGGATCAGGGCTGAAGAGATGTCTCTGCAATACTTTTCTCCCGGTGGCCCCAGGGAAATGATTATCAAATGCTTACCCTTGTATGCTGGCAGGCAAGGATACTGGATAATAACATCTGAGTAGGAGTTTGGGGGGGCTACTTTTCTTAAAACCTTTTTCTTAAAACCTGCACAGTCAATCCTCTGGATTCCAAAGTAATCCATGCTGGCAAGATTTCCTTAACCTCCCTTCCTCGTATTTTCCAGATCTTCCAGATTCAATTCGTATATGGGACGCTGGACCCGTTTTCCAGCACGTGATGCTCCCCACCAATAGATGGAGCCTTTCCCAGGTGCTAGTGGTATCTGCTTCTACTAGTACCACTAGCACTGCAGGGGATGTGTTAAAAAAAAAAAAAAAAAAAAGTTTGGAGAACGAAAACGGAAGGCTGGTGGTTGGACCCCCAGGGAGGGGTCCCATCGGCTGATCCTCGAGTGGCTTGAAAAAATAAAGAATCAGCAATAAAGATGCTAGGTGTAAATATCACAGCGATGGGCCCGCCACCAGACCACGGTGACTCACTTGTGGACCTGGCAATCAGAAAGCCCTCTAACTGGGATGGCAAACCAATCTCTCTGGCAGGCAGAGTGCTCGCAATTAATAACTTCATCTTTGCATCCATATGGTACAAGGTGGCATTCTGACAGCTCAACAGAAAACAGATTACCAAGTTGAAACAGGTCGCGACGATGTACCTCTGGAAGAATAACCACAATCACACCCAATCCATAAAAAGGGTGGTGTGGGACACCATTGTGCAGCCCACAACACAAGGTGGCCTAGGAATAATTGACCCCGAAAAAGAGATCAAGGCGCTTCTTTTCAAATTTTTAATTCGCCTCCTTTTGGGGAACAACATCCTGTGGGCCCCGTACACCTGCATCCAACTGCACTGCATTGCACCCCCCTCTCTTCCCCTCCATCCAGTTCACCCATTGCAATGGTTGAGCTGATCCTTGTTCGTGGGCTCACGAAGGGTGGATGACCACTCATCGGAAGGAAGGGCAAAAGAGGACCGTCAAGTCGACCCGTTAGGGGCAGCAATGGTTAAACTATGGAGAGAAAGAGGGCCGCACCGCACCCCCACATCGCCCAGATGGGTAGTGGGTCACCAACCACTTTTCGAACACCCGAACATCACAGACAAAACAGGCAACCCCTTCTCCCTTCAAGGGACCTCCAAATGGAGGCAGTGGGTCCAAAAAGGGGTATGCACAGTGGGCCACCTCTGGGATGGCCAGGCAAGGAAGTCAAAATTTGAGCACTCTCTGAAGAACCTCTCGGGCCCCTTAAAAAATATGGCCGCTTGCATGATGGAGCTACAAGAAGCCAACCCTTTGGCTTGGATTCAAGCCCTTAAAACGGGTCCGACGATACAACCAAAAAATTGGGTGGTGCTCACACAATCTATGCCCATCCCCATGGCGGTGTATGAGGTGCAGAGCAACAAAAATGGGAACACAGTACTACACGCCCACTGCCTGACTTTCTCCGAGGAACACTGGTTTGCAATACATAGACAATAAGACATGGACATACAACGCCCGACATCCAGGCTCACTAGAATCAGAGTAGTAGGATGGACTATCTCTATGAGCCATCCATCCCCCTCAACGACCTACCATTCGACCCTGCAGAGTGAAAATGGTCATGGGGTGAGTCTCAGACAATGGCCCTGTGGCAATACATTGTTAAGATCGGTTGTAGGATAGACCGAAAACGAGTGCAAGTGACACAACAAATCATCCATCGTTGGGAAAGAGACTCTCCCCTGGACAAGCGGGACTTCCAACACTTCAAATGGACCTCCTTTTCACACATCAAGTCGACTAATCACAGAGCACTGCGATGGCAGATCATACATAGACACCTGCCAACTCCAGATTGGCTAACAACAAGAACCGACTTAGAGGCAAAAGGACAGCTCTCCCCACTGTGCATGTACTGCACCAATTCCACACCACAAAAAAGAGCTACCTTGGAACACTGTCTATTAGACTGCGTAGTGGTGAGACAGGTCTGGAGCTGGTAGGACGTCGCCTGAGCGCAGCAACAAACTGTTCCATTGGTTTCACAGTCAATGCAGTGACGCCGCCTTGTAGTGGACCCCGCCGCCTTGCGGTATACAACCCATGCAGTGTACAACCAAGATAGCCCGCCAAGATACCCCGCCGCCTTGCGGTATACAACCCATGCAGTGTACAACCAAG